TGTCTTTTTTCGTGACCGGCAACAGATCGCAACCCTCAGTGTTGCCCCCGTACCGGACCGGGGACCGGCAACGGGATTGCAACCCTCGGTGTTGCCCCAGCTCCTCGCTCAGCCAGTGAGCGGGAACTGGTCTGTATGTGGGATCCGAACCCTCGGCGGGAGCGCCGCGGCGCTTCCCAAGCGGCGCACTGTAGCAGTGCGCCACCGGCCGGCCCTCTTTCCATATTCTAGATGCATATCATCCCCTATTCTTTTAAAAATGTGCTGCTTCACATGAATGCTTCCCTCAAGAACGTGCGTTTAGTATTGCATGTTTTGAGAATTTATAATAATGGGGTAGTATGATGTGTAGTGTTTTGATGAAGTTTTTTCCTTTCAACATCTTATATTTGTAATGTGTCTCTGTTCTGTTAAATTGTGGTTCCTTTATCTTATCACCTATATGCTGGTCCAGGGTACCACTCCACACACCTCTTTTAAATCAATTCTGCTATTGATGGACACTTGGGATGTTTTCAGCGTTTGCTATTAAAAGCAACCCTGCTATGATCGTGTTTCTACCTGTCTTTAGGTGCACAAGTTCAAGAGTTTCTCCAGGATACATGCTGGGAGTGAAATTCCTGGGTCATAGGTTATTTGTAACATCAAGACAATGACTAACTTGTTTTCCGAGTCTATAATGCAATTTAGAGTGCTATCAGCAGAGTGTATTTTAAACGAAACTTGGTTTTGTCACACTTAAAACTTTTTGCCAGTTTAGTGGGTGTAAATGGTATTTCATGATTTTACCTTGCATGCCTGATTACTAATTATTAGTCTGAGATCTTGATTTCTTGGAGATATTTGAGTGTAACTTTATTGGCAAGCTGCACTGTTCACCCCCATGTACTTACCACGTAACTCTCAGGTTGTTTTAACAGAATCAGGACACCGTTTCCTGAATTACTGTATCTTGGTGTAGGCAAAACCACCAATTTGAGTTTGGTTTGCTGACCTAATGGGGTCAAGCAATGCTTAACAAGTCACTCAGATTATTTGGGTCTCAGTTTGTAAAATTAGATTAATATGAGCGGCCCTTACTTGCCATACAGGAAGTAGGTTTAACAATGGAATGAGCTTCATCTTAGCTCTGGTGGAAAAATGATTCCTGGGGAATGCTTCTTCTGTGGATGAACAGTTCCAACTCCGTATTACAGATCATCAATGGATTTTTACAATAATCTTCCTCATTTTAGAGACAAAGTTGATGTCAGTGTTTAATTCTAGAGAAAGTTTCTAAAGTTATTTGAGAATCTGGCAGATTTTGGAGGAAACACACCTATAAAAGTAAAAGGAATAAATTAGTAACGTGTAAACTATGCTTGGATCGTATGAGAACTAGTGCAAATAGAAGTTGGGTAAACATTTGTTACTTGATGGAGTCCTAGGAGATAAGCCAAGTGGTCTGACTCAATCTCCTAACTTGGTTCAGGGAAACATTTTCCCTGAAAGGGTGCTCTTTGAGTTTCATGAAAACTCTCTTTGATTATACAGGCAGGTAGCTGAAAAGTTGCTTAACATAGATAATTACATTTAATTTCAAACTTTTTAACCTAGGGAGGCTACTAACATAGTTATTCTGAGCTGCTTAAATATCAGCTTCATGCTAATGAGGGAGTAGGCATGGCATGGGTAAAATTTTAGAAATCCCAGATTAGTTAAGAGACACAACCTCTCCCCTCTTTCACCAGAGGTCTTGAAAACTCTGCACAGCCTTCCTAACTTGAACTTTACCATTCTTACCCTTAGCTATTTGGCAGTAGAACTGTTAGAACTTGGACAACACATAGGAAAAGATGAGAGGAAAGGATATCAAATATTCTCACGGCTCAAAAAGCTAATCGGGAAGTGACAGAAAAGTTTGCGTAGTTCTGACCAACATAAATCATGATACAGACTGATGCACTGCTAAATTCTCTACTAATAATCTGACTGGTGCTTCTACATCTGGTATTAAACAAAATTTTATTTTTAAATTGCAACTATTCAAAGTGGTTTTAAATTTAATGCTTCTTACATCGTCTCAGGCATTCTGCAAAATGCTTGGTAAATGTAAGTGACTCTATTGAATTATCTCACACATAATTATAAAAATTGTCATTAAAATCCAGTAATAAACTGCATTAGCTACCACAAGATCTTAAATTCTTGTTAACTGGCCTGAAAGGCAAGCCACAGAGCAGTCGCTCCATGGCATAATTAATAAACTATATTAAATAATTTAAATTAAAAGATAATTGAAATATGACTTAGTTACTTGTATGGCATGCCAGTGGGTGATCATATATTTAATTGGAAATAAAGTGTGTTGAATCATTATAGATCTTTTTATAACATTGAGATAAAGTTAGTAGAGTTTTGTTTTCTTTTCACAGTTATTTACAAAATGTATCTCTTATAAAGCACATGTTTTAATATTTTTTCCCTCTAAAAATAACTAAATCATTCAGGGTGACTCTGTGTTGTGGGGAAGATATTTATCATTTTGCACTGCACAGTGATTTAAAACTTTATTTACTGTACAAGCAAATGATGGATTGATAACAGACATTTAGTTGTCTTTCCAAAAGAGAAATGAAAACATGTCAAATAATTTTGAAATGGGAAGTAAATTAGTTGACAACGTAGAATACTACTTAATATTTTTATTAAAAACTTATTTTGATTCTTTTATATTGCAGCAATTACAAAACACCTCTTGAATGAATGAACGTTAAACAACCATTCCTTTAGAATATGACTACTTTGTGGATAAATATATTCCTATCAGGACCTGCACTTTTCTCTGGCTTAGAGTAAAGCCTCTAAGATCATATGGGGGAATTTTTCTGAATTTGAAATAAATACCTCAAAAGTTCTCTTGTTCCTGAGCATATTTTCATTATTTGCAGGCTACTGAGTCTTGATTTTTCTGATTCTCTTATTTGTTCCTAAGACCTTTCCTCCTTTTTCTGTGGTCTGGAATATTTAAGAGTAGGGTTATTTATTCTTTAAGGATGGGCAGAATATAGCTATGAAATCTTCTGGTCTTTTTTAATGATACATTTTAATCACCTTTCCAAATTATTGCATGGAAATTGATCTATGTTTCATATTTCAGAAGAAGGTCAATTTTTGATAATTTGTAATTTGTTAGGCAATCTTCTCTGTCCTCTCAGTTTTCAAATTTATTGCCATATTCAAAAGATAGTTCTTTTAAAACTCTTTGAAATTTCTGATTGTGAGGTTGTGTTTCCTTTCTTATCCTTAATCATACACACACACACATGCACTCACTTTTTTCTTTAGTCCGAATCATAAATGTTTTTCTGTTTTATAGATTCTTTCAGAGAAGCACCTTTTGTTATGTATCTATCCTTTCTAATATTTCTAATATATTTTGTTGCTTTCTTTTTTTTTTTTTCTTTTTGTCTTTTTTCGTGACCGGCAACGGATCGCAACCCTCAGTGTCGCGCCCGTACCAGACCGGGACCGGCAACGGGATCGCAACCCTCGGTGTTGCTCCCGCACCTCGCTCAGCCAGTGAGCGGGAACCGGTCTGTATGTGGGATCCGAACCCTCGGCGGGAGTGCCGCCGCGCTCCCAAGCGGCGCACTGTAGCAGTGCGCCACTGGGCCAGCCCTATTTTGTTGCTTTCTATTTCATTAAATTAAGGCTTTTTCTTTATTAATGATCTCTTAGTAGTATCTTTCATTTTATTTGCTCATTTTCTACTTTCTTAGAGTAAAACTGATTCTTTTTTTAAAAATTTACTTTATAAATGTAGGCATGGATAGCTGCAAATCTTTCCCTGAACACAGTTTCATCTGTGTTCCCTAGGATTGGTATTACTTAATTCTTTGAATTGCTTTCTAGAGAATTCATATTATTAGTTGTGATTTTGATTCAAAGATGGACAATATTTCTTAACTTCCAAGCACTTAAACTTCTGGCCACCTTTAAATCATTTATCTCCAATAGACTGTGATTAGATAATGTGAGTATAAAATCTTCTTTTAAAAAAAGATAGTTTTGTGTGTGTGGTTAAATACATAACTGATTTCAAGAAATACTTCATGGAAATAAAAAGTATATTATCTGGAATTGAATATTTAATCAACTTGGTTGTATTATTCTATTTTTCTATGTACTCGATTGTTTTAAATTTACTGCATCAATCTAATTCTTAGAGTATCTTAAATCTCTTGTAATAAGTGTATTTTTTATTAAGCTATTCTTATATTTCTAGTAATTTTTACTTTATATATTTAGCTGCTGAACTGTTTGCTCATATAGA